TGTTGGGATTTGTATGCAAGAACTGACTCTATTCTACTGCATGGGTTTTGTGCAGTATTGTGAAGGCGTGTCTCCAAGTCTGTAACCGTCAGGTGAAGACAGCTTGGGCGCCTGTGTTTTGGATCTAATGATCACTCTGTGTTGTATCTACCCAAACTGCGCCACCACTGCCAACTACACAACAAACAGCAACTACAATTCTGTTGTCAGTTGGTACGTGAGCGCCCCGTGGTTCGGAAGACGTCGATGGGGCGCGCTGGACACCGCGGGCGCCGGTCTTGCCGACAGGGAAAATGCATCTCCTTCGCCAACATCGCTGTCGGCGTTAGCCGGGTACGGTAACCGGAGGACACGCGTGGGTTCGTTCTGGCAGGACGCCGTGCACCCGAGCTGAACCTTCCCGATCAAGGTCCATAGCGGCACCCACACCTTGTTCTTCTCTGGTGAGCAGGGCGGTCGCTTCAGCTACTCCTCCCCGCTGTGGGATGCCATAGATGGAGAATTCGAGGACCTTACGGTAGATCAAGCCAAAGTGTGTTCGCACAGGAGGCAGTCCTGTGCGGACATACCTTGGCTTGGTCCACCGTCAGATCTTCGAACTCCCGACCCATTGCATCCCATAGCGGGAGGGAGGTGCTGATACGACCACCCTGCCCGCCAGAGAAGAACAACGTGAGGGGGTACGCTCGTGTGAACATGGAAGAAGTCAACGTCGCAACCCAGTTGGCTTCCGTTCGGGCAGGGTCCATGGGAGCGGCGCTGGTTGAATAGATCCAGGTGTAGCTCGCCACGTACTCGCTGTTGTTGATGAGCCACTGAACGACGAGCTGAGGAAACGTGGCAAGGGCTTGAACGTTCTCCTGTCAGTGAGGGAGTGCAAGGGGGGCGACAGGAGAAGAAGGAGACACTTGACATGAGTGACAAGCACAAGGGTAACACATTATCGTTATACACTTGCAAAAAAACGAAACTGGCAGCATATCCCCCAAGAAAAGAGGTTTGAGCATGTACCGACATCGCTCCTATTACAAAAGGAGGTTAAAAAGGAGGCAAAAACACGGCAGAATTGCACCTAGATAACAAGTTCCGAGTTCCGGCATGTACCTTTTCAAAAACAAATTGCAGCATCACCCCCAACAAACGTGTGTCAGCATCTACCCTTGGAAAAAAAAACAAATGCTTATCGTTTTTTGCAGCAATGCATTCACCTGTACCGGAGAAGGAGCTTCCCAGAAGTTCTCCTTGCCTAGCTCTGATCGGCCCTCGTCGATCAAGCGACGCTGGCGCACACAGTATTCGGCGAGGGCGGCGTTATCCTCGTCAACATCGTGCATTCCATGCAGCATGCTGTCTCCACCATCAGTGAGGGGTGGTGAGACCTTGGCAAGCACTGGCGGCGGCAGTGGTGGACAGCCCCACTGTTGAGGCATCTCGTCAAGCATGTCAATGAAATAATGGATGAGAATGAGTAGAGAGTGACAAGGGAAGTGACAGCAGTATTCGCAGGGCTCAACGAGAGCTTTTAATCTCGAACGGGTAGCCTTTCTGTGTTCGTATATATATTGTCCGAACAATGTCCGTCAGGCAACAACAGGGTGTCAAATCCGCGCTCGATCGAGTGTGCATGCTCAATTGAGAGCGTATACGACATCCTCACGGACATCAAGAGGCTGGGCGGATTGTTTCCAACCTCGACCGGTCGGTGACATCACCGAGCCCAAGTCGTGGATCGTCAGGGCAGGAACCGACGAGCGTGAGCGGACGATTGCAAACCAACTCAAGAAGTGTGCAAGATCCCCTGGGCTACAAGAGAACAGGTATGTCCTGTGAAACGCGGGGCATGGGGCCGGCAAGTAGGATAGGGCGTTTGGACCCTATCGAAACCACACTTCAGTACATGTACATCCACCAACCAGTTTGCAACAAACGCTGCCAGAGAAGGAATACCGTGCAACTTTTTAAGCCTTCTGCGCGAGATCGGCCTCCGTCCAGGAACAACCGCAACCCTTCGACGTGGGGGAACGCATACCTACATACAATGGAGTCCATGGCGCTGATGATTGGTCGACCTTGACTCTATCCGGGACGAACGGGTCTCAGCGGATGAACGGGCAGCAGCAGACGACAAAAAAGGCGACGTGCGGGCGCTTCGACCCTGGACTTGAGCAAGTCCGTCCGCGATGATGCGATCTCGAATCCACACAACAAGAAAGGGGAGAGAAGGCAAGAGCTAGCTAGAAGATGACTCCGCAAAAGCAAGATGCTTTTGGCTTGGGGTGGAGGATGAGAGCAGGGTGGGGTTGTTGGGGTGGTCGAACGTCCGAACCTACCGGATATCTGTCAACGTCTCTCGGACTGCCGTGAGCCGTGAGAGGCTGGTGCGCTGGTGTGGTCTCGAGCGGCGGGACTACTCGCTGCGTCGAGCAGCTGGTGTGGTGTGTGGAGGGATGTTACGTGGTCTCGCGGATGCCTTTGTGAGAATCGTCATGTGGTCTTGCGAGCTCGGAGAGCGTGCGGGACTTTGAAGTATGACGTGGTCCCGTGGCCTCACGCGTGCTCGATTGTGATGTGTCACGTGCGGTCTCGCGTGGGTCTCGCGGAAGATGTGGTCGCTCGGAGGGGCTTTCACAAAAAACCGTGACCGTGACCGAGTGACTGAGCGGCATGTGCGGCCAAGACCTTGGAAACCTTGGGTCCCTAAAGATGGTTCTGTGTGAGTCGAAGCAACCCACGGGCAATGATCGCCGCACTACACGCATCCCTGGGACTATGACCATTGGCGCTGAAAGGGGTTTGCAAGGAAAATGATGCCTACAACAACAATCACTTGACGGAATTCCCTACCGTTTCATCGCACGAGCGACGGTTAGGCTTCGGGACAAATAATACCAACCCAAACAATATTCAAACGCGAGCAGACACCTGGGACACTCGCGGACATCGTACAGCAGTAGCCCGCATGTACGCCGCTGTCTCGACCAATACCGAATGGCCCGACACCATCTATACCACACCGATACACCAAACTACGGACATGATTTGCAAAGGCACTCGAGAAATCCAGCTGCCAGGTTCGAACTGTCGTGAAAAATCCATTACAACAGGGAAGCTGAGCAAACCGGGAGCCCCACGCAACATGTGGGGCTAGAGCCTGTTGACCCAGGGCGATAAACCCAGTCGAAGTGCAGGCCCACAGGCCCCAACCCGGAGTTCAGGTGCGTCCCCTTGTCAAATGAAACCCCACTGGCACCCTCCATCACTCAATAACCCAAGCATCTTCCGCGCAAGAGGCAGTCTCGAGAACCTTCGCCCGCTTCTTGGCAGCCAGCTTTTCCAGTGCGCGCCTCCTGCGTTCGGTCAGATTCATGCAATGGTACAGTAGGGGTGCGCGAAGTACTTCTGAGTCTCCAAAGTGAGAAAGAAGCTCGACATCCCAGCCTGTACGTGACGCTGATACGACATGAATCGTGTGATGCAATGTGCAACCAATCCGATCGGCTTAGATTGAATACAATTGAAATTCGAAAAAAACATGGGTTCGCTGTTAATGTGAAGAACCCGACTGCAGAAGGCTCTGGTCACAGTGCGGAATCCCTGCTGTTCCACGACTCGCCATTGTGATGGGAAGCACAAGGAGGCCATGGATAGTCAGGGCCTATTGGAGGTCATCATTGAGCAGCTTCTTGTCGGAAGACAAAAAAGACCAAAGACGGAATCGTGGTTGGATTTGGTTAAGTCATTCTAGATAACGGGACGGGAGACAAAACTTGCACGTATGTTGTTGTTGTCTTCACATTAAAAACCGCTCCGTTCTCTCTGCACAATACCTTCTCCCGTCCGTACTTGTCTAACACTTGACGAGGTCGACTCCCGCGGTCACAGGCTAACTACCCGCCCGCCAAAAAAAACGTTTGCGGCAGAAAATAGCATCGTGGTGTCCGCCTTGACCGCACTGCTTCTTCCGGCCCGTAGAACTTCTGAGAAAGCAAATGAATGAATGTAGCAAGAGAGATAGATCCGGCGATTCTCTGGGATGGAGCAAAGAAGGGGCTACCGTTGGCGAAGGCGGTGTGCGACAAATTCAACTTGTCCCGCTAGATCTCTACGATTTCTTGCGCTCCGAGTGAAAAAGCACGCCTTTCGTCCTCCTGTGCCACCCGTCGTAGTCACTCCAATCAAACGCTACCCCCGCGAGGAACAAGACATGATAGGACACACACCTGCTCTCTTCCATTCGCGCCCGCGCTGCGGGCGACATTCCCGTCGCCGCTCCGCGACCGCCGCCGCCTCCGGGTGTGTGCCCTCTGATAGCAGCCGCGGGGACCCGCCCAGAGGGCGACGAGCCGCCAACCGTGGTCGAGTCGTACCGCCGAGAGGCCGCTGTCCAAGTCGAAGAGGCTGCTGTCCAAGTCGAAGAAGCCGCTGCCGCCGAACGAGAGGCCGATGTCCATGCTGAAGAGGCTGCTGTCGCCGAACGAGATGCCGCTGTCGACGAACGAGAGGCCGCTGCCCCCGTCCAAATCGAAGGGGCTGCTGTCGCCGAACGTGAGGCCGCTGTCGCAGTTGAAGAAGAGCGGGAGACCCACTCTCCTGGCTTGGGCACCGCCTGCACGTAGGAGGGCAAAGGAAGGACTCATCGCGTCGATAGCAAGCTTGGGGCGATTTTTTTCACAAAATAATCTTGGCCGGTCCGAGATTCATTACGCGGAAATGGGTGAGAAGGAAAGTGATTGCTCGGTATATTCGACGCTTGGTAATATACTTCTGAAGGTAGCAAGGTCGCAGGTCGGGACCCCGGGGTCTGAATGCTTTTTTGACATATCTCGCGCACACCGCAGACGACGCATGTACAGCCTTTGAGCACGGTCGAGGGAAGCGTTTTCTACTCCTCTAAACACAGAGTCCCAAGTCTCAAACCTAGGTTTTGGCGGTTGGGGTTGGGGGGACTAGCCGCTTCTGAACGATCGTGGGTCAGGAAAAATCTCGCGTACAATTCAAAAGACGAGGGTGCATGCGGACCCCGCGCCGCATGCGAGCGCAACAAAAACGGGATGTTCAACGGGAAATAATACAAAAAAGGGGGTTGCCACAGGAAGAGCGTCTAATCACCGTGCAATCTCAAAAGGTTAAGGTTCCTTTGGAGCCAGCAACAAGAGACACCTGTAGCCCACAGATGTTTGCTCGTACAAGGCGACAACGGCTCGGCTGCATCTCAGTGACCCCACTCTCCGTGTCGAAACTGTGATTTTTTGTTTCACCTTTCCCTGGCGCGGAGCCGTGGTGACCCCGCTGCTCGAGCCCCCGTGGGCAGCTCTCCTCTTCGTGGACAGAGTTGCCAGTACGGCACAGCAGTACACAGCCGTAGGCGTGGCAAACGCAACCGTAGCAGCGGAAGCAGCAGCAGAAGCAGCAAAAAACGCGGGGGAGCTTCAGTCTGGGCGCGTATCACGTACAAGCAGTACAAGCAGAGTCTCGACGAATCCTGCATCGAGGACGAGCAGGCAGAAGCGACCAGCCAGCAACAATCAACGCCGGGTACTCTGTTTGGAGATCACAACGAAGAGCGCAAAAAAGAAAACAGGAGGCTGAACGCGCTGCAAGTCTGGGTCACACGCACACGGTACCATGCGGCGATTCACTCCACCATGTGCTTTCACATTCATTCAACCCATCTCGTGTGCCATGCGAACTCATGCTTCATAAGCTGGCTTTCATATCAATTTCCAAGCTGGTCCAACGCTATCATCTACGCTTTCGAAACCGAATATCGACGGTCCTCGCACGGTTTGGTGACACCATGAACGTTACAATGGGCTAGTTTCGAGAAGAAAGGGCATATGATGAAACTGGAAAGGCTCCAACTCCGGCAGCATGTCCGTCGGAAAAGTCAAAACTAGTTCCGCATAGGCTGAGAATACAAATCCCTGGAAGCACGAACATCGATCCGTGCAAACCGGCGGCCATCGACAAATAAACGAAAGAAACGTAATGCCAAAACTAAGGAGACGAAAATAGAGAGTATCGCCACGCAACCTGCGATGACGCAGCCTGCGATATGACGCAGCCGGAAGCACCGACTGGCGAACACCGAGGCGGAAAAACACAACAGGTGGTGCGGCCAACCCCATCTACGAAGCATGGAAGGCGAACGGCGTCACCTCGAGACCGGCGTAGAACTTCTTCACGCTCTCGTGCGCCTTAACGACGCCTTTTTGGAACTCCACAAGGTGGAGCCCATCCAGAGTGGTCGCCCGCGATAGAGCCACGTACGCCTGGCAATGCGCGCAATTTCGAAAAAATAAATATATACAAAAGTTAATGATGTGTATCATGTTAATCGTACTATATTATTTTGGAGGCCGAGACGACATATTCGAGCAGCAGACATTGGCACCATGCAACCGTGAAGCTTGGCAACACGAGGCACACATCGGTGACACGTCGCAATGCACGGAGGCAAGCTTGCCTTCATATCCGACGGCGGGTGAAAGAGGATTTCATCCCCGTTCCATGTCGTCCCACTTTTTCTGGGCGTTCTTTTTAGTCAACGTTCAGTACACACCTGTAGGCGTCACACAGGAGTAGAGTCTGTTTCTCCGCCTTCCTTCTTTCTCTTGAAGTCCAATCCTTGGACTAGAAGCAAAGAGTAAAACGCCAAAGAAAAAGCTGTGACGACGCCGAGACAACAGCGGCCCAGATAGGGCTGCCCCTCGCAACGCTACAAAACTTTGGACTGCTTCCGCCGCTATGGCTTGTTACGCACGGAAATATCTGAACTTGTCGGCCCCATCAAAAGTAAGGGGGGCATAATGGATTTTTTTTTCTCCTGATGCGTTGCACCGGGGTGTATTCGTCAGCTCTGTTCCCGTTTTTTTTGTACTGAAGGCCACCGCGAAAGATCCCATATCCCTAGAAAGGATAACGTCGTTCATACGGAGACGGTGTATGTCATCACGTAGCTTGCATCGAGGCAGGTGCTTGCTTAACCAGTATGTGGGAGAGACATATGGAGACGCGTTTGCACTCGACGCACCTGGCCGAACTCGAACATGCCCCGAGTAGACACCATCACGTGGGCAATGGTCATGCCCTGAACCAACCAATGGCAGCACCAAAGGGCAACCCAGCAGTGGGCAGCACAATAGACCGGAGAATTGTCGGGCGGAAGAGCGATAGGGGTGGGCGCGACACAGAAAAGGACGAGATGCTCGGTAACATGACTAAATACACTCGAGGGCTTGCTCGTGCCGCTCGTGTAGCTACTGGAGGGACTGTTGGCGCAAGATCACAGAAGCAGATATTCGGTGACACCCCGTCCACAAAACGAAAACACACCCACAGCTAGAGACATGTATTGTATGCGTTTAGGTTAAATGTTGTGATGCAGAAGGGGAGGGGGGAGAGAAAGGGTACACACACGGAAACTCCGCCGCAAACGCTGGAGTTATACCCCGGGGAAGTCAGTGCACATGGGAGGTTCGCGAAGCCACTGTCTTATCCACCGGAAACCCCCTCACGCGGCAAGCGGATCAACAATAAAACGGCTTCCCTTACCTGTGACTTGTGCACGGACAACGCCCAAGCAAGCCGAAGCGGCAGCTGGACTCGGCGCGCCATCTCCCTGAGTTAACGTAGCAACGACACAAGCACAGACGCCATGACACGAGGGGCGGCAAGGGGAAGGACGAGAGAACCCGACTCGGTCGTACGTCGCGGGGGGGTTATAGCCGTATCATACATGCCTGACGTGTTTGACCATTTTGACCTCGCGTCCTAGAGAGGACGGAGCACTGTTCCCCACAGGACCGATCGCCAATGGCCAATCGTTCCCTCGTCCTTTTTTTCCCAACGTGGCACAATAACTTTTTTCCTATCCCATCGATCCTGTCTGCATCACTTCCCGCCCAGAGGGTGGGGGCGCGCGCTAGAAAAGGTCAAGCTTCTCAAGCGAACGCCATCCATTCGATGGGTGCAGCAGTAGGGCGTGTTTCAAGGCCAACACTATCAGCAAGCGGAAACGCTGACTACCAAAAGAAAACCTGAATACAGGAGCGACTACTCCCACGTTGCAATTTTCCTATGTGCATTCGAGAGCCCTATACCTTGAACATTCGTCTCAGTTGTATGACCTTCTGGACATACGATTCCGGTAGGAGCCGCACTCTTTCATAATTGCCAGGATTCCCTCCGGATGTTTCACTTTTCATTAGCACCTTCTTGGGTGTTAGGCTTAGCTTCACTGCGTTGCATATACATGCATTTGTACCCTATTGGGTGTCCTACAATTCAGGTGCGCTTCTTTCAGTGCAGAAGTAAGCTTCTGAAAACTGAAACCGGTTCTTTTGCCGCGGGTGTGGAAGAGGAGGCGTGGAACACAGCTAAGCACGATGGACAAGGAAACACCAGGATACCGCAACCAACACAACGGCCATCGAGAAAGCGTTTTTTACGTGTCCATCACAGCCAAGCCGCAAAGTTTTTACGTTTGTCGCGATATGAGAGGGTCCGAGGTAAAACGAGCAAAGAAAGGAGAGGCGGACGTCGGTAACATCGTACACGGACCTGTCGCCTAGGCTGACGGTCCATTCCTCCTCGCTGATGACGCTAACCACCTTGCCGCCCCCTTCAATCGTGTCGAACTCCACCTGAAACGATCGGCTAACAAAGCTGAGTACCAACCTCAGACTTGGTGGGGGATAAATGAAACGGTTGGCCAGCAAGCTGAGGTACCCGACCTCAAACCTGAAAGAATAATGAAACGTGTGGCCACCAAAGCTGAGGTACCGATCTCAAAGTCGGACGTTACAATGGAATGTTCAGCTATCAAAGCTGAGCACCAACCTCAAACTCCCTACGTTTCAATGAAAAACTTGGCGACCAAACCCGAGGACCAACCTCCGCAGCTAGGTTTCAATCAATCACAGCCGGCAGCCACAAAGGAACAAACTCGAAAACAAGCTTGGCATCTAGCGTATCACACGCAGCAGTTACCCGCGAAGGGTGCGAACACCTGATGGAGAGCAAAAACAAACAAAAGAACGCCGCATACAGGAAAAAACAACGGTTTTGGCTTGGACACTTGACATCCTGTTTACCATGGGCAGCCTCCGTCCGGACGCCTCTACGAACTCCTTCACGACTCCCGTCGCCCCGTTGACGAGCTGGCTGGACGAGTCCAGGTTCTTGAGGAGCAACACCTTCGCCCCGACCTACAATACGGTAGGGTACCGTGAAACAGGGGTTAGCCCAGAACAAGCCGAATCAAGGTTGCTGCTCGAAAGTGCCATGAAGCCCGGGAACTTGAGGTGGAAACAAAACGTCACCGGCATGGTCCGGTCTGCATCTCGTTTGGCATTCGAAGAAGGAGGGAGCGTTTGGTTGGGATGGCCGCGGGCAACCATTGGTTGACGTTCGCAACAACAGCAACGACGACGACAAGGACACAACAATTGACAGCAGCACCGACAACAACAAGTCACCTTCAGCTCGATCGTCTGTCCCGCAGCGCAGTGCTTCTGGAGCTGGGTGAGGTACATCTGATCCCCATTGTCCTCCGCCTCGTAGAACTCGGCTCGTCCTGCAGACCACAGCAACAGGCACGGCGAGGATTGACGGACCCAACAGAAGCGGATTAACTACACGGGGCGTTAAGTTGTCCATCAGACCACCAGCAGAGGAGCCTATCTCGGCTTGTCATGCACAAGAAAAGGACGGCGGAGATGAACCGACCAAACAGAAGCGGATTCATTTCCCGCGGTGTCATGTTGTCTATCAGACCACCTGCACATGGGGTGGGTTTGAGGTTAGTGAGGAGTCTAAACGCACCTCGTTGGAACACATGGCGTGCGTACATACTCCGACGGAAGTTTGGGTATCACTCCCGTTAAGCTCTACAAGTAGTGCACGCAAGACGATTACGTTGCGTTAACGATTTCGTTGCGTTAATTACATAGCGTTGCAAAACGCATCGTCAACATAGACTCCAACTCGCGCGCATCCCAACCGAAACACGCACACATCGACGGGTCATACGTTGTAAAGTGAGCCTGTCAGCGCGGTCGATGCTAGTTCAAGAAAAACAAACACAGGCAAAGACAGCACAGGAACACGCACCAGCTACATGTAACCGAAGAACAAGACACTAAGGGCACCAACCCCGCCCTTCCCCCTACTACCGGCCGATGCTGTGGAACTAGTGATCGCGTGTACTGTTGTCCTGTATACCTTGGAGCTTCTGAAGCTCCTCCACGTTGAGCCTGTCGACGTCCTCATTCCTGCTGAACAGACGGGTGTATGACGGGGGCGGCGGCGGAGGCGGTGCAACCGCAGAAGGCTCCGCAGGGGGGCCACCCCCCCCCTCTCCCGCGCCGCCCCGCGCGCCGCCCCCCCCCACGGACGGAGGGGCCGGCGACGAAGCTTCCCCTCCCCCGCTGCCCGACTCTGCGGGCGCGGCGGCGGAAATTCCGCCGGTTGATTTGGCGTTGATTTGCTGGTAGCGCTCCAAGCGGCACTGCTCGACCTGTGAACGGAACATCCATAAATATACATGCCATCGAGACCCCGGCGGGGCGGGGGAGGGGGGGACAGCGAGAAGTAAGGAGGGTCGTCTACATGGTGGCTGCGAACCATTCATTTTGTTCGACGGCTGAAAGTCGAGTGCAGGTTTGCATACACGCTGTGATATAGTATGTTTTTCTAACCTGCGGAGAGGGCTAAGGTGGGGACAAAAATGTTGGTGCGAAGGAAAGAGAATGCTGCATACGGAATGGTGGGCGAGGTGTGCCTCTCCATCCCGTCGACAGTGCTTGATGGTTGCGAGCCTTGCGTCGGCCATTCGTCTGTACTGCCGCCTCGAATCTAGTTACGCTAGACCTCGCGTGATAGGTCCGTCAAATCGCGAGGGTATCAATCGTTCCCTCGACGGAGAGACGTTGGGGAAATCGGGCCCTTTCTGAATGAGAGACGTTGGGAAAATCGTGCCCATTCTGAAGGAGATCACACATACAGAAATATAATGTAACCGTAACCGAAATCCAAGACAAGGACGACGAATATTTCTGGCGAGGAACGCGCCGTGAAGAAACACAGACACAACACTGACACGCTACTTTGGCGCGCTTGCAGCCTTCCGTGTATCCATAAACGCCCCGACTTCTTGAAAACATTCTGCCCTTGCCGTCAACAGACCCTCGCGGCACGACTTCGCTTGGCTAGAAAACCAAAGCAAGGTATGAACACACTATGAGCACACAAGCAGGTGAACCGAGGGCCCCGTGCAGCCGTCAACTACACACGACCAACCAGGGGGGGGGGGGGGGGGGGGGG